GAATTTTTGAAGTATGCTTAATCCAAAGTGTGTTTCCTTCTTTTTGCACCACCCTGTACATATATAGCAGCTTGATCTTCGCAGTATATTTTTGACTGGCGAAACGCGAAACATTCAACATTCAAACTTAAATAAAAACAAAATGCGAAGGCTACAGGAAGTGTGATCTTTCGAATTTCTCCTTCCCTGAAATGAGGGGAAAAAGAAAATAAACATCTTTTGAAACTCGCCGATGCAAACTAATCATTATGTCATGTTTAACTTATACAGTCGTGAGTGGCTCGTGTTTTCAAATCATTGTCTTGCATGGGTTACCTACATGATATTTGAGGGCACGAGGAAGATTAAAAAGTACAACATGCCTCAGAATATTAAATGTAATTTAATGAATTCTATGTTATCAAGTGGTATGGTGATGGGTAAATTTTACAAACATGGGATGCATATATCTTGCCAAATAGAAATAAAACTTGAGTAAAACCCACTAAGTTTCAAGAAATCTTCGCCAAGTTTCGGTAATTGTCTTTAAGTTTTGAGTGTGCAGAATGAAATTGCGTGTCTTCGTTAAATTGAGCTAGCAAGCTGTTACTAGGAAGTTTTTCCTCACAGCCACATACAATATCATGCATGCACACTCTCACTAAGGATATAAGGTCCGTTTTTACTCTATTTTGCAGTCATTATTGGAACAACCTGTCCAGCATATCGTATTCACGTAAACAAATTAATAATTCAAGCAGCACACTGCTTATTTGTGTACGTATATGATCATGGGGGAAGAAATGGTATGATTGACAGCCATGCATTTCCGACCGTGACATGAACCAAAACACCTCCGTAGCCTACACAACACCCGGACGATATAACAGTACGACAAAAGATTTGTGTATTATTATCGCCCAAACATTCCAAACGTCACCACGGGTTACCATATAAATAAGCTTCTTTTTTGTTATTCCTCCCCGGGTTTATTGATAGAGCAGGCCATCAAAGTGAAATAAACGGTCATATTGTGCCGTGTTTTGTTAGAAATTCTATCAAACACGTCAAGCGTGCTGTACTGTATACATTATGGAGCCGTTGGGTGCCCCAACGTGACTTGACACACACGAACGTCTATTGCAAGCAGCAAATGGTGCGTGGACAACAGTGCTGATTGGATTAAGGATTATAACTCGCTGAAAAGTGCTTCCTTTTTGATCATATCCCCCGATTTAGACAGGTAAATCGTATTAATTTTCTACCCTTTGTAGTGTGAAGTGCCAGGATCAGGATTGTGTGTCTATGGCGTCAGCAGTTTGCTCCAATCACCCAAGTCTGTTGGCAACTTTTGATCAAGCCAGTACATTGTACATGTACAGTGGTCGTAGCATAGCATGCATAGCCCAAAACGGTGTTGGACTGATGCCACACTAATATGGGAAATTAAGTGACTGACGTTACCATGGAAACGTCGGATGGCGGCACCAATGCCATCAACGCAACTTCGAAACCAAGAGGTGAGAAAGTGTACATGTATATATGTTTTATTTATACGTAGCCCAATCCAGAATTCTACAGTCAAACATAACTTGTCTTGTTCTCATGCACATGCATTCTGTTGGATTTGTTACTGCATGTTCATCTTGATTTTAATGGAGTAATTTCTGGTTGTGTTTATTGTAATTACCTGAATAAAAGGAAATATTCCCATAAAATTATCTGGCCATCACTTGTCACCCTGTGCACAAACCCTTTGAGACTGGTCTGAAAATTTGTAAGTGTTTTCTCAGTATAAATACTTCAATATTTTCTCTCCTAATTTTGACTTTTCAGGACATATTATCACTTTCTGATAGCTGTTAGGTCACTGAATGGAAAAATAGTGATAGCCAGATATGGGATCAGGATTCTTTCCAATAGAACTTACAAGGGAAAAACGCCTACCTAGTAGTAGCGCTGCTCAGACTCTGCGCAAAAAGCTCTGGTGTGGAAGTTTCTATATCTATAGGTGTATAAATGCATCTCAAATACTGGACTTGAGATGCATTTGTAAGCCACACAGCGATGCATGCTTAAATGTCCTGAAAAGTTGTGTACCCTAACAGTTTTTCCACTTAACATTCACTTTAGAAACTACATAAATGTGCATGGTTACAAAATATAGGGGAAAGCCTCGCTATGCCTCTAAACGTCGTCTAGTTATCCTGTAAAAAATCATGCAGTCATTTCGGATAAACTTGGCTCCAACTTTCTCCTCAACCTTACGGGATACGTGTAGAGGTATAGAATGCTTTATTTTTCCAGCTTTTTAACCAGGTATAAGTTAATTCCATAGTGATTATCAAGTAGGAAAACTGTCAATATTTCAAATACAGGAAACTTTTGTTCAAGAAATTTAGCACGCATTACTGAGTGGCTCACTTTAGACACAGCGTATGGGGCTAGTGTAACAAATAATTGGCCAAATTGGTTTTCCACGAGTTTTGAAATCCACGATCGATCAGATGTTTAAGCAATATGTGACCTGCCATAGCATAATGAGGAATAACCACCACCTTTGACTTTTCACATTGTGTACATCATGTGATAGGGCAAGTCATTGGCTTTCAATTACCAAATTTATTTCTGTAGCATAATTTACTCCAAAGATATGGCGCAGGAACTTCAACAGTGTCCTGCAAAGTTTCACTAACCTAACCTCGTTTCGAGAAAAACGGCTTTGAAAAAATAGAGACACGCATTGCGCCGCCAACGGCATTGAAAAACGTTCTCCGTTTTTTCCCATTTTTGTGGGTTTTTTTTCCAAACAAAAATGCATAGTGTGAATCTTGGATACTTTGGCTACTCAAAAATACAAACAATCAATATCGATTTTTACATGATTTTTCTAGCATATCCGACTTCAGGCGTCGATTACTCAAAACAAGGTTTTGGGGGACATTCCTCATTTTGCCTCAGTAGGTCACATATAGACAAGCAGATCGCTTGATTTTACCACTGGTTACATCTTGTGTACATGTACAGTCATTTTACGTCTTCATGTTGCTTGATGTCATGTAGTTTGCGTTGCTCGATCGGATTTGAATCCCGAAAAAAAATTGGAATGCATCGGGGGAAGAGATGTTACAGAAAGGATCCGATGAGAGTCATTTTAAGAACTTGTTTTTCTCCACTTTTTTTCGGCGGGAGATGAAATTTGGACCTTACATGTTATGTTTATAAACGACTTTGAAGTTTTTAGATTCTAAACACTTCAAAATCATTTAGTTCCAAATTTTTGGCAAAATGTTTGCAATGAATTCACTGCAATTTACAAGTTTTTTTTTTTATTGTGTAACATTTAGGAGACATTATATTTTCGAAGGAGGGATCTTGCACCTCTTCCTTTAAAACTGCACCCGGAAGCGACGACATAGGGACAGTTTTAACATGTTTATACTTCGCCATAAACTTTAGTTCTACAAAAAAACTGTGTAATACACTTTGTGCGCTGCACTGTGGGACAGCCGGTGAATAAAATCGATTGCGCTGCCTCCGGTGTGCCTTGAGGTTGTTGGTTATGATGTATTTATCACCAATTGAAAGGGATCTCTCCGTGGAGTCCCTGATTGCTTGTTGCAGCTTCACAATGGTGCTTCGTTAACTCGGATGAGGGTGTTTGGGTCGTGTTGTTACAACACAAAATGTGTCCTGCGGCGCTGGCTGCTTTAATTAGGTTTCAGTGACAGGTCAGATCTGTCTACATCAGTGTGTCCTGTTATTGCTCTGTACACTATTGTTATCTTGAGACCTCCTGTACCATCAGGGTCAAAATTTCAGACTTCATGGGGACGCTGGGTTTTCTAGGCGCCATATATTCGTTCTTTTCAGCAATAAGATTAATTTAGAACAAAACATATTTACAAGTTAAGCTAATTGAGGAGTTGAGCGTCTTTTAACATTTGTTTGGCTAAATTAAGTTGTGGGAAGCCATGCGGGTAGAATAGATTGGTAGCACTAAAATTCCCGAATGAAAGATGAAACGTCCCCTTGAGATTTCGCCTGGTGGCGTAACTCCCCGTAAGCAATGGTCTAATTTGTGATAGCAGTTGGCGCTCGGAATGGATACTCGTTTCTGGAGGATACTCATGTGAAGTTCAAGTTGAAGGGCGAAAGTGTATGTTGCTCTTCCACTTATTTGCTGCTTATACTTATTTCAATACAGAGAGCAGTTTAGTAAGATGGGACCACACGGGATGCAACGTTGTATGCATTTCCTCAGTGGGCATTTTAGGCCAAAACAAAATAGTTATGCTTTCTGACAGCCCAGAAAAATGAGAAAAAAAGACACCCAAAAACCATCAATTTCCTACCTACCTACCCTATTCTTGAATGCCGTGTAATGGGAACAGAACTATTTTTTGTTTGGCCTTATGCCAATTTACTTTGTAGTAACTTTCTAAGTTTGCCTATAATTATTATGCCAGTCAAATTCATCAGGTCATGCGCTCGTGCTATATGGCACGTGTTTACTGTAGGCCACGCCCACGAGGTCGCCTTCATTGAAGCAACTTTATTGTGCACGCTGTACAAAGCAATGGCGGATTATCCGAACAGTAGCTAGCACAATGTGCATCGCCATTGAAGGGGGCCGTCGTGATAGAAGCGATAGGCCCCCGGATTGGGCAATAGTGAGCGCTAAAAGATTAAGCTACTGCGGCTGCATTTGAACCACCGAAACAACCAGTACTACGATCACAAATCACTCTAGTCAAACATAAGCTTAGGCCTCACCGTCTAATCCATGCCCCCAAGGCGCATGATGGAGGACAAGTCAATAAGATTAACTTAACGGTAGAGCTTAGCATCATTGCATGTGCTGTACACGTCACCGTTACCAACGCCTACAGTCCTAGAGCGGACAGAGAGGAGGGTCTAAGCTCTCAATGAATGGGATTTACTGGGAAATAATCCTTTTTAATAGGCCGAACAGAGGTTTACATCTCAAGGATGTTCTTAGTATAGAGGGAGATTAGCTCCGCTGAGTTAAAATGGTCATAGTGATGAAAGAATGCACTGGAATAGAAATTCGTTGTGAGTGAATACCCTGTCGGACGGATCCGCGGTGAAACGCAAAGGTACGGTCGCTTCCAAGCCGAACAGAGACCTTTTCTCTTAAAAGCTACATCAGACTCGAGGAGCGCGAGAATACTTGAACGTACCAGAGTGTCTATCTATCCGCACAGATGCCGTCTATATTTGACTCTCCAGAGTTAAAGTCTGGAGGAGAGACTGATGTATGATTGCACGAGTCTTGATTCGCTATTATGAGCGGGAATAATGGTGCCTGTTTCGGTTGAAAGTAACCGTATGGAAGTCCGGATGAAAGGAGCAAAGGCTTGGAACTCGGCAAATCAGGCGCATATAGGTAAACGAATATGCGTATAAGTGATGATGTGCGTAGGCAGCACAATTTCTGTGTGACATCAAAACATTTATTCTCTCCACTGGTAATACTTCTGAATGGTGTCTTGTGTTAATAGTTGGACAAGTCTTGCGTTTCAATCTAAATTGATGTTATTTGGTTTTCAATATATGGGGAAAAGTCCATCACAAGAAAATTCCACTCATGAAATAAGACCTGAAGTAGGGCCTAAGGAAATACTCGGGACCTCATCTCATCCTTGCCTAGCCCCATAAATGTGGCCAATTTACTGGACTACCTCCGTAAACATAAGCCACACATCCACATGTACAAAAACGTGTCGCACTTTGCCAAATTTTGATTTTCTCATTCAGGCTTAGTTTGTATTTTTTTTTGCTTTAGAAGCATACTCACCCTCTTTATAGGCTAATCAGAAAGTGCTGCTTTTTTCAGATGTCTAATTTTCGTGAAATTTCATGTTGAAATTTTGATACGCAAACGTGTGCAAATGAATCTGGAAATTTCACGAAAAATTGACATCTGAAAAAGGCAGCACTTTCTGATTAGCCTATAAAGAGGGTGAGTATGCTTCTAAAGCAAAAAAAAAAACTACAAACTAAGCCTAAATGTGAAAATCAAAATTTGGCAAAGTGCGACACGTTTTTGTACATGTGGATGTGTGGCCTATGTTTATGGAGGTAGTCCAGTAAATAGGCCACATTTTATGGGGCTAATCTTTGCCATGGCGTGTGCAAACTGTTTGCACATTGTATGGATAGCTAGCACTACGCTTAAAGAGCCGGATGTTTGGCCATCTTACCGACGGGGAGAGGTGAGGGATCCGTTCCCTTCTGAATTCTGATCTATAATTTTGTGGAATCTAGTATGCTAGTTGAAACGTGCATGTTTAGTTTACAGTTTTACTTCCATCAGACACGGCATTTTGGTAATAATAGTCGCGACCCGTCCGTGCAAGAGTGCGTCTTCCTATAGACCAATATTAGGGCAGGCTATATCAAAAGCATCATTACTCTAGCTTTTGTTCAGATAATCCGCCATGGGGCTGTTGATTTGTACAATAGCGTGCACAGTGGTTCCTCCATTGAAGGGGGCCTCGCTTGCGTGAACAGTGATCATGTGCCCGGATTAGATTCGTCTGTACACGGCCAATGAAAACTGTTTATTTTGTTATTTGTATCCCGGGTCCAAATATGACTGTAGCACGAATGCTACGTCCGATTTTTTTTTTGAAATATGTGTCAAAACATCAACACCCCATACCACCAAGCCACGCCCCTGGATACCTTGAATCGTTAACACGGTTTTTTTTTTAATCAATGTTGAGTTCGGATGACACAACGGGATGGCATAGGCCTTTGGTGAGAATCTCGTTGCCTAAACGTAACTTATGGCCGTGCGCAGGGCGGCATAGGCGCCCATGTGTCCTTCAATCTGTCGCTCTACGGTGGAACATCTGGTAAAAGAGTGTTCGGAGTCAATAAGGAATGCTAAATGATGTCCTCTCTTTTTTCATTACAGGGACCTATCTTGATCCCCTCAAGGCTTGCGCCCTCAGCGGCGAAAGCGGTGTCAACATTGGCAAGTCGGAGTCAGCCACGTACACCAAGTACATGAACATAGTCCGTCAGACAAGACGCACTGCCTCGCGCGTCTCCGTGCTGAACGACGTGGAACGCAGCCGCCTGAGCAGCGTCATGCGGCGCATTGATGGGGAGAGGGCGTACAGTACGGCCGTCATGGACCGCCAAAAGAGACAGTTCAAGAAGTCGTTGGAGAGCTTGGACAGACATCGCAGCGGCTTGCTACGGCAGATTGATGAGGTCATCACCACGCCTTCGCACTTGCGGGCTAAACAGAGCATGCTCATGACTCGTCGCCACGGTGCCAGAGCAAGCAAAGACGGTACTGCAGCGAAGACCGACCAAATAAGCGATCAAGCGGCTGACTCGGCCCCCGAAATCTTGCCAAAAAACGAAGGGGTCGACCGTTCGGAGTTCACCGGGTCCAGCACGGAGTTGCCTGCCGTAAAATCGCGCGGTGAAAAGCCTCGGGTCGCGGAGCGCAATGGGGATAATGGTGACTCAAAAGGGGAGAACGTACCCGTGTTTTATACGGGACTTGGGCCTGAGAAACTTCATCAGCAAGTTTGCATGGTCCATAGCAAGAAAACCGCAAAAAGGGCTAAGACAGTGACTGACGTATAAATGATCAGTTAATTTTGAGATTTTTTTAAAAATTAATTGCATACAATTTGGATGGAATGTACAGATTGAATTGCTTATATGAACATTTTTTTAAATGCCTCAATGTTTTGAAATATAATAGTCGCGCTTAGAAATATAAGCAGCTCGCGCCGAATATTTTTATACGCTTATTTTTAAAACCCTTAGCTTTCTGTGTATTTTTTTTAAAAATAGTTGTGGGTGGTCTTCAGGAATTTCATGCTGAATGACGCATATCACGGGACTTCATAATTACTACACTCTGGTATTAAAGATTGTATGTCCCTGATCAGCCAAACAAATCATTTGTAAATTGGTCCTATAATGTTGAATTGTATAGACGTAAAAATACTCTAAACTCTTTTGGTCTTCATGGAAGTGTCATATATCAACACAGATTGAATTACGAACGGAACACTTCTAATGCAAATTTTGAAACTATAGTTTACTCTGTTACTCATCATGGGCCAATTTTGTTCCCTATGATTTATCATTATAGAGAGTTAAAACTTCTGTAAAGCCTAAAATGAGCAATCAAATTTGGGTGCCGCACTGTAAGAAAAAGCGCCACACACCGACTTTGAGACCATTTACATTCATCATTACCTGATATTTCGCGTAACTTTTGTTAAGGCCGAAATAGGAAAGAGGTTTAAGTTATTTACGGTTTTAAGTTGTGCCCCAGTCATTTCCCTTTGTTATGTATGTTATGTCCAATGATAATGTGTCGTTCTATTATATCACGCATATTCATCACACAATAGGCTCTTCCTTTCTCAAACATTTTGCCTTTGACAAAGGCCGTGATCGAAACATTACGCCCTCAACTTTTTAAATCTCAACGGACTTAATTTTCAAAAGGCATTTTATCGCAAAAGGTCTTAATTTTCCTGCTGAGATTTTCTTTTGTCTATTAAGTGGGGCTCTGCCGACAAAGAGCCATATACCCATTCCTACCATTTCCCAACATTGCTTTAATTTAATAATTTCATCTCGCAGTATTACTGAGTCACCAAGTTAAAAAAATATTGTGTTTTCGATCGCGGTCTTTTGATCTTTGTTGTATAAAAGGCTTTGTGTCAATATTCACTTCAAATTACGATTGAACACAACGAGAATGAGTATAAGTCTTGTGTGTTTTACTGAAGCAACGTTTATATTCCTGCGTATTATATTCTGCTGTAGATTCACTGCACACGGAAATCATGTTTGTGTCCATAAGTATTGTTATCAATAGACCTTATGCGTAGCGGCCATCTTAGAGGGCATCTCTTGTTATTTTATTTCAGCAACAATGAATGCTATACAAGGTTCACCCATGCATATCCAAGCAAAACAAAGGTTTTGCCTTCTTAAATGGCTGCAACGCATAAGCATAAGGTCTATCTGCTCTTTCCATTCTTTGCACATAATATCAATTGCAAAGACAGCAAGGCTACACACGCAATTCTAAGAGTCCATTGTTTTTGTTTCCAGGTAGCAAAACCTAATCTGTTAAGAAAAGTCGCATCCAAATGACTTGGCTACGGCTGGAAATAACACACGAGTCTATATGGGAAGTGGCTGCAGCCGCTTCCGTCCGTGTGTAATTTCTAGCCGTATAGCCGAGTATTTTGGACACGGCCCTAAGATTCCATTAAAGGAGCCATATAAACTTGCCCATATAGCCTCATTTTCAACTGAGGCACGCTTGGGATCACACCAACGGAATCGAGGCTTCAAATTGCAAAATTTCGCGTCCTTAGTTGTGAAAAAGTGCAAAACTGTGACGGAATTGTATGCAATTGGCACCTGCCTGTCTTTAGCTTGGGGGGGGGGGGGGGGCCTAGTTGTTAGGGTTTGTGACTCATGATCAGAGGGTCTATACATTTGTAGCACGATATATGGACAGAGGAACCCCCCCCCCCCACCTCTTTGTGTTGGTCATTGTGTTACCAGAATCTCAGGAATTCTTTTGAAATATCTGGGGGATGTGTTCGGTAACAAAATAGTTTAGGTTGTGTAAAAGGGTATAGGGAGATCGGGGGGGGGGGGATATCCCTCTGTCCCATATTGTGCTGGGTATATCTCCCCCAGGAGTGTAAATGGGTACCGGCATTAGCTGGGGAGTAACCTACGATGGACTAGCACCCCATCCAGGGGGAGTAGAAATATTCCCAGTCGTTTCATGCTACTGAAACCGGGGATAAACGCCGGCCTGATGGGCCACATTGGCTCGTGACAGACTTTACTCAAGTTGACTTTTTGCTCTCTTTCAGCTCAACAGTGCAAATGATCCATGGCTATGCTCCTTCGGATCTGAATGGCGAGTGCTACAGGGGTTTTGCTACAAACTGAAACCAATGGACCTTATGCGTTAGGGCGGAGCCTGGGGGCAATGGCTTTGTATCGCGTGGGTGGGCGATGAGTAAACCTTTTGTGCATTAATTGTACTGGGTTAAAGAGGTTGTGGAATGCTGAAAGTCGTTTTGTTTTTTTATATTTTTTTTTTATTGTAGAGTAGACCCATATACATGTATATCATCATGACATAGTCCCATTCTTTTGTAATGTGCGTTTATAATTACGTTTATAAAACTGAAATTCATCAAGTAATTTGTTGGTCGGCGACCGCATAATTGAAATTTACAGTCGTCTGGTTCTTCGTAAAATGAGAAAAATCGTGACGTAATAAACGGGACTCGTTTATACTACGCTGCATCGGGAGTCCAGTTTACATTACGTCACGATTTACTATGTTTTGTTTGCTGCCCCCAACGACGACTTTTGCACAAATTGCACGTTCGGGTCGAAACAGGACCTGAAAAACAGCTCTCAAAAGTACCTTTTGTACTCATTTCATGACAGACGCAATAGTCGTTTTTATTTCATCACACCTTAGGCTACATTATACCCGAAAAATGACGGAAATGTCTTCGAGCATTCCACAACCTCTGTAAAAATAACGAAGAACACACTCATGAGATGCCTATTCAATAATTCAAGGTCTATTCAATATTTATAACCTTGCGGTATTTTGTACAACAAATAGTGATACAATAAGTCCAACCAATTCATCACGTGTCACGTCCCCGTCCAATCACAGAATCGCAAGATGAGGACTAAGTCGAACCAATCCATCACGTGACACGTTTGCGTCCAATCCAAAATCGCAAGATTAGTTTATCGTGAATCACATTATCTAACGCTAATCACCATTGGCTGAACTTGTTTACAAAACCATAATAATTGGCTGAACTTTTTTTAGATTCGTTTTTTTTGTAATAAATTGTTCTAAAAACTATAAACTTTTTTAGATTCGTTTTTTGTAATAAATTGTTCTAAAAACTATAAAACGTCTTTGTTGCTTAAGTCAAGCGACACTTGTATGTACCACCTTTATTTACAAGTTATACAAATGCAAATAAAGTAAGAAACAATACAAACGGAAAATATTGTGGTCCAGTTATTTTTTATTTCCTCCACATTATTAAGTTTTTAAACATTTACCAAAACAGTTCAAGAAAACTGACAAGAAAGTTTCGAAACCATGTATCATGTAAGGAGGATGATAGATTCTCAAACTTCGTGATTGTCTGCATCCCATTTTGTTTTTCCTAGAAAACAGGGTGAGTAAAAAAAAAAAACCAAATGTTGGGACCATTGTTTTCGTGAGGTTCTGCATGAAGCACTTTCAAAATCCAGGATATGAAAACCCAATTCATAAGCTTTTTTTTTAGTATAAGAATTATTCAAATCACTCAAGTACTTTTCAAGTTACGGAGTTGCTGAAAGAACGCACACCATTCTGTGATACGTGGACAAAACTTTAAAACTTTGGTTGTGTTTAAAACTCCGTAACTTGAAAAGTACATGAGTGATTTGAATGATTCTTGTACTAAAAGAAAGCTTATGAATTGGGCTGTCATATCCTAGATTTAAAAAGTGCTACATGCAGAACTTCACTAAAACAATGGTCCCGACATTTGGGTTTCGTTTTTTGACTCGCCCTGTATTTGCCTTTATAGTTGATACACAATGCACGGTACGTGTGAACCCCTACATTAAAAAACTCACACGTAATTGCCATTACCTGATGTTTTCTTTAAAATCATGTTAAGGTTGTTGTTCCAAGGCATATTACATTGACTTCATCTAAATTTCCATTATGTGCGCTTCAATTAAATTCAATTCAATTCCTTTAATGACAAAGGGCGCACAGAGTTTTTTGTCTTTGTTTAATTCTAACAGCCGTCACGGGAACATGACATGTAATATCGTTTTTGTGATTGCGCGAAAACAACCATGTTGACCTTCAATAATTTTTCGTTGTTTTCCAGTACATGGGTGGTGAGTTTTATATTTTCTCATTTACCACACAGGTTAATGCAGGGCTTCTTGCGTTTGTGTGTGTGTGTTTTTTAATAAATACTGATAAACGAAGAGCTTGGTAATTAATGAAGAATTCGACATCAGTAATCGACCGTGCAATTTTATATACAGGGTGGTGCAAAAAGAAGGAAACCCACTTTTGACAGCAATTTTCACCTATTTGTTGAGCATATTAAAAAAAAAAATCTATCTAAGGCCCCAAAAAAAATATTCGGTCTCTGGTCAGACCAAAGTTCCGGAATTGACGCGGGGACGCGGCTTTTTTTTTCTTCAAGCTTGGATTGTACAGACAAGGTGGGGTACTATTTTGCTTTTTTTTGGTGTCCTCATGTACACTGGTGTCCTCCATAATTTGCCTTGGTGTTCTCGATCATTTGCCTTGGTGCAATTTCCCATTCCTTGGTGATCTTTGGTAAAAAAAAATTGAGGAGGTGCGGCAATAGAGGGCGCTGTTGGAGCTACCGCGGAACATTTTGGGGAAAAAAAAGATTGACGCGCATGATTAAAATCGACGCGCGCGCTGACCAGAGACCGACTTATTATTTTTTTTTTGGCCTAATGTTATTAAAATATTTATCTTTAAACATACATGTAGTGACGAAAAATTATTGAAAATGCATATCTTGTCTCTGAGATATGGAAGTTAAAAAATTTCACGTGCCCTGCAAACCTGTTTGTCTACGGAGGGCTTTATTCCATCCTTCTGACTGAGCTCTGGAACTTGATTTGAAGACAAAAAACACTACGTAGACTTCAACGTGTTTAACAGTGATTTTGGTGAGTTGTATTCAAATATATAGCATAATGATACTATTCTTGTGATTTTTAACAAACAGATTTTTGCACAATGTAAGGTTGAAGAGCTACATTATAAGGAAAGTTCTAGCCAGTTAAGTAGGTAGATTAAAATTCCTGTTACAAGTGGGTTTCCTTCTTTTTGCACCACCCTGTATAACTCGCATGGCATAATTGATGCACACATGGGCCTTATTCACGAGTTGGCCATTTTTGTCGAGTTCCTTGAACGTACAGGTGTATTTCATTAATTGTTAACTGTTGAATGGGATGGCGCCAGACTTTTTATGCAGGCACAATGCAGCCTTATTTTACGGTAATTTAATATGGCTTTAAACACAAGGGAATGTTTTATTACAAATGTTAAATTATTTATTGAAGCAGACTGGAATTTATTATACATAAAGATGCTTTCATTTCTCTTCGCAAGTTCCAAAAATTAAGATTTTACCTAACTTTCAATTCAATATGGCCAACTCGTCAATAAGGCCCATATCCAAAGGTATCTATCTCCAAACATCATTCAACCCGAAAAAAAAAACATGATTTGGGAAATAATAGATCTGGATATAATGCAGACATTAATTTTGTTTAAGTACACTACATAATAACTCCATCACATATGGAAAATGGCAGTGTAAGAAATTAGAGATGTACATGTACTTCAAAGGTGAAACGAGTAACGAGAAATGTAGAAGACATTGTACAGAACAAAATTAGAAGACGACATTGTGAATATATACGCCAGATTTTGTTCAAACGGATGAAACGCGACGGCATCTACAAAAGGAATCGTCTGAGTTTATTGTCACTAATTCTGAGGATTATAGGCCTACGTCAATCCAGGCCAGACGAATACAACTCATCAAGTGACGTTCTAACCACGGTTGTGTCGATATGTCTTGCATGAAAAGAGTGTCCCGAAAAGGACGCATCAGTTAAGCACAGGTGCTATTGTGTGTCGTGATGCAAACAAATATTGACATTTATCGTGAGGAGTATTATGAAAAAGATCGTATCAAAATTAGT